TTAAAGGTAACTTCCAGTTCTACCTGAAGGAGAGTCTTGTCACTGATTTTCAACCTCTAGTTACTGAACAAAGACTACTTGCCAAATAGTGCATTAACATGATTTGTTCCCTCATATCCTACATCAGGTCGTACCTAATGTCTGGGAACCCTTGCCGAAAATTCAATTGACAGTAGAATGAGACGACGGAACAACCCTTGCAAAGAGGAGGGTGCGGGTGGCGCGGTCCACAACCCGAGCCCAGGTAGTTAAATCAGGCTCTTTGTGAACTAGTGAAACGCGAAGAACCGGAACGAATGTTTTGTCTGAAGTCCCAGTTGAAACCTAACAGGCAGAAAAAGCACCAGTTGAAAATCAGCCCGTTAACAGCCTCTCAACCAGTAGTTGTAAACTGACAAGACACACCAACCTCTAGTTAGACCTCAACAGACAGTCAACTACTAGTTAAATGATTTGACAGGAATGGCCCTAAGAAGTTTATCTTCTCAGAAATTCCTCGGGAGGAATAGGCGCCTGGCGCCTAGGCGGCATGGATCAAAGAGCTGACGGCTGATGGTCGAGCTCGCAAGACTGAGCGGCGACATGTTGCCATGTCGTGCTATGTTGTCATGTTGGACAGATATGATTTGATGATTAGATTTTGAATTTCTGAAATTTCCTGAAATACATTCCGTGAAATTTCAAGATGTATTTTTCAAGCAAAATTGCAACCCTGCATTTGAGCCCAGAATAAGCCGACCACTTCCGGTCCTGATTCTGTTCCTGATTATTTGTCCGTTTCCGGTTCAGTAACTCGTCTCGGTTCCCGTCATTGACGTATAATACAATCTAGACCGCGCATTGGGCCCGACTTTAGGCGGGGAAGGTAAGACAGCTAAGGGGGTAAAGACGCGCCTTCAGCCTAGTTGATACCGCCGGATATACGAGCTAAGTGTACCCGTATCAGGCAACGGCACTGGCAAGACTGGCATTTCCACGAATTCCACCATTGTCTCGCCGGTACACTTGCTGTGTGTTGCTGGGTTGCCTATCGTCTCGCTTGAATTTCGTAATGCGCGGTCTAGATTGTATTATACGTCAATGGTTCCCGTTCCCGGTCCGAGTTGTCCAGAGACAAGAGACCCTCCACTAGTAACTTGGCTATGGTGGAAGCTTTTACTTTCGGGACTTTAGCATTCTACTGTTGACTTACCTACATGGTTGATGTTCAACAACGTGTTGGCAGTTTCGTTTTGCAAACAAGCCGAAAATGGCCGACGTTTGGGAAAGTTGTTTGGCTTATGACGTCATCCGAAGCTCATCATCGACCATGTAGGTAAGTCAACAGCCGAAAATAGGGTGATGACTGTTGCTCGCTCATAATTGTCCATAAGGAATTGTTGAAACCCCGAAAGTAAAAGCTTCCACCTGTCGCTAGGAGGCCAGTGGAGGGTCTCTTGTCTCTGCCCTAACCTCAAAAAGTGGACTATGTAAACAACCAGTCGAACCGACTCTCACCGCCTTTGCTTTTTTATTTTAAAAATATGTTATACCAACTCAAAGTGACTTTTTTGCTATCTTAGTAGTGTTTCCTTAAGCCTCATTGTGTAGTCCTAAATTCTGGATTCTGAACGCGGTTTCAAAGTTTTTCCTGGCCAACGGTAGAGCGGTTTGCTAGCCTCTCCTTCCACTCATGGGTAGCATTTATGACTGACAACTTTGTAAGTTGGAACACAGTTGTAGTTTTTTTAATTAAGTGTCGAAGGTAAAGTACTCTCCTTGAAAGACCCCTCGACAGATTTTCAAAGTATGTCAATAGTTGATATCATATCAGGGTCATATCATGTTATCAATTGACTAAGATAGAATCGTTGTTTCTTAAGATGATTTTTTTTTGCGTCAGATGTATAGTATGTCTTGAATTGTTTGGACCGCGTATATACTGAAGGTATTTATACTCTTTAGGGGAATGGACATATCGATGGTGAAACTTCCAGACCACATAGGTATCTTGTTCGCTGCATTAAAGTATCTTGTCTCCTACTTTATTTTTGAGGGAGATCAAATCAATATCATTGCTTGAAATTTTCAAGGAGTTTTCCTCACACAGAGAAGCCAAAACATGGAATTTTTAAAGAATTGACGTTGAGTAGTTTTCAATTTAAAAAATAAAGTATGACAGGAAGTCTACAACGTCGCAAACCAAGATACATAGTCTGTCAGTTTTACCGTCGGTATGAAATGCTAGATATGCCACTCTTAACTTGATGTCTCATGAGTATGGGGTTGGGGGAGTCTGTGACCTCTGTGAAAGTTTTCCTCCTCAATGATTATGACAACAGTCCAAACTGATACATTTCAACTCCATAATTGAAAGGGCCATGGTGTATCGAGCGTTCCTTTTGCCCATCCCAGTTTATGTCCGGGAGGGGGCAGTATTTTGGTCATTTGTTTATCTGATAGAAGTACTGAAGTCATTCTTCAATTTTTTAGATCCCCCTCCATCTGCAGTGGCTGCTTACAGACTGCCCCTCCAGCCTAATTTTGACCAAATTTCTTGTGGCAATGAGCATCTATGAGCTGCAAATTCGTAGCCAAACGAAAACAATATTCCATCGTATGTACTATCCTCTCATTTAAAGTATTACGAATACAAAATTTTTAATGTTTGATTTTTCTTTGATTGTTTTAGTAGCAATGGATCGAGGAAAGACAACTAGCGGTAGAGGGAAGAGCAAAACGCCGCAATTCCCTGCCGATTTATATGTTTTGGGCTCAAAATCTGGAAACTCAGGAGAAGTTAAACATACAACTCTTACTTCAAAACCTGGGACAAGTCACACTGTACCGAGTAAGTAAAGTCACCCTCTCTCAAGTTAAGCTATTTTTAAAGGAAGATGAAAAGTTCTCAATCACACCAGCACCTATATTGATATTGTTCTAGAATTTTAGGGTTTTCCTTTTTTTTCCAATTAATTACAAGACATTTTCGTGAGATCTAAAAAAAAAAAAAAAACAGTTTTTTGATCATGCTCCTTTAATTCATTTATCACTGATGGTAAAAAAGGAACTATAAGCAACCCTTGATTGTTAAATAGGATGAAAACAAAGCTTCAAATGTGGGAAATGAGGCTAAAATAAAAAAGGCAAGAACCTGAAACGTTGTGGTCAATTACTGTGACCACTATCAATCAGAAATACAATGTATTTAAAAAAAAAAAATCCATCAAAACTTGGAAGGCCAGAGAAAGTAATTTTTTACGCTATCATCCAGTGCCTTATCTCTCAGGGCATTGGTATTGATATGGACAGTGAAACTCCCAAACCACAAATTTTGGTTTACAATGTCGCAGGCTTTCTCTCACACTTTATTTTTTAAATGGAAAAGGACTCAACACCATGCTTAAAAACTTCCAAAATTTTTCTTCTCTGTGCAAGAAAAATTTTGGAAAAACTTCAAGGAATATTATTTATTTGCTCTCATTAAAAAAATGAAAGACCTAGGATTGGAGATTTTAAAAGACAGCAAACAAGATAGTGGCTTGGGAGTTTTGCCATCAATATACTTCTTACTAACTAATGATTTGGCTTTGGAAAAGGGCTGCGGAATAAAATAAACCAGGGCGCTGCCAGAAAGAAATTTTCTTGCTGGCTACGTGGTGAGGATGCCATTCTTTTTTGTATGTTATTTTGTTCAGTACTGAAGCAAGTAGAGGCCCAGAAAATTTTTGTCTAAGTTCTTGCAAAATCTTGCAAAAATTTCTAATTCTCAAGTTATTATGTTGCAAAAAACACTGGTCATCATCAAACAAGCTTTCCTAAAACATCCAGCAGCTTTAGATTTCCAGGTATAACTGTTTTCTCATGAGGGTTCAAAAAGCTAAAGTTTAAATTGTGCCTGAGAGGTAAAGAAAGAAATATATTTTGCTCAGTGCATTTTTTTATGTTCAGTCATCAAAATCTTAGTCCTGTCCCTCACTAAGATGATCCTTTCTTTTTTTTTTGTAGATGAAAGGAAACGAGAAGCTGCTCCAACCTTGGGAAATGCAGCAAAAAAACCAAAACTGAAAACAACTGCAGGTAGCAGTGCTGCTGAACTTTGGGATGTGCTAGCAATAGACATAGATCCTGTACAGATTGTTCCAGCCGTAATTGAGGCAGCCGAGAATGATGAAGCAGATAAAGTGGTAAGTATGGAAACCAAATCAACCCACACTAGGTATAAAGTGAAATATAGTATGTCTATGAAAAGTACTTTTCCAAAAAGAAAAATCTCCATAGCACCCTTGTATGAAATTTGAAATAGCAACTATTATTTTTAAGTTTTAACATTAATTGAAAAGGCCAGAATAACTTACTCCCAAAGGTGACACACTAAATAAGATTTCTATGGGGGCTCTCAAATCTTATCTGATCTCAGAATCAATATCTCTTATTGTTTAGACGGTGCGTTTAAAAATTAGGACAATCCAATTTTGAATAGTTCATACCAACCATCAATCAATCTCTCTAAGGTGAATTCTAAATGTTGGATGAATTATTTACAACAAATCATGTTAATTTCCAAATTTAAGAGAAAGGCATTAAATTTTCAACGAGCACCCATAGTCAAAAAAATTAATGTCATTTGGTGACCCTTCGCCAGCCTCTAAAAGACAGGTGAAAACATCTTCATTGACGGTTCCACCACTTAACTCTTGAAAGCACCCTCATGTGGGATGTTCAACTTCTAACTTTGCCATTTGTTCATCAAACAAACAGGTAAACTTGACGGACCTTTCTCTAAACACATCACACAGCATCGATTAAGAAAGCAAGATTCTTTTTACTGCCCATAATATAATTTTAACTCTGGCAGTAAAGTTGTCCACTTTTGCTGGTACGGTAGTGAAGGATTAGGGGAAGCCAAGTGCTGGGAACAGGAGGTGAAAATTCACCAGGAGCTAATAGAAAAGTTACCTGGAAACGTTCCTAGTGACTGTTCAAAGTGTGAGTGATCACCAAGTAAATGTGCGTGTGATTGTGTTTTTCTATCCAAGTTTCCATGGAAAGTAGATTTTAGCCAGGTACTTGAGGGAACTAGAAAATTTCCACTGAGATCCCTGGTGTAGAGTCTTTACTCGTCCCTAAGGAATAGGCTCAATTCAGCTTGCATACCATTGCAAGTGTTTGTTACATTCTATCTACCGATTTCTGTAAGTATGCATCAGCCTACCAGGTTCCATGTGGTGGGAGTCCCTTACATCCGCTTTGAAAATTGTCTTCCTCATATAATTAAAGGATCCTTAATTCACTTTTTTACTTCTCAATTTGTCCTCAGATTGGATTCCTCTGTGGCGCAGCACGGGCCCTGAAGCTAGCTAGGAGTAAACCAACTGTGGATCCGATCCTCACCAATAGTCTACTGTTACTGTCAAGAACTCGCCGATCTTTGTTCCTACACGAATGTGTAACAAGTGCGTTCACATCGCTTCTTCACCGTGACCCCAACACACCACCAAAAAGTAGAAGTTGGACTACAGTTCAAGTTATTTCTGCAACTGTTCTTTGGTGTGTGTATCAAGAATCCAAAAAGTGGCCTGTATCATTCGTAAAAGTAAGATTGGTTTCCTCTTCTTTCCTTCTTTCTTTAGTTCTCATCTCAATGCTTCGAATACTCGAACAGTTCCTCCTGAAATCTTATCCTTCTAAAAAATAGGGCTGCTCTTCAAAATCTCCTTTGAAATCGACTACAAATTTTTGAAAGAGCTTTTATCAACGGAATTTCTAGAAGTAGTACTATTGGGAAAAAAGAGTCCTAATACAAAGTATACATGGTTTAGAAAAGCTTTGGAAGCACTTATAATTGGACGGAGTTTAAGAGAAACGTATTAAGTTGTATTTTGGAAACAAAAATGAGTCAGGAATAATTCTGAATTCAGCTACTCCAAGGAAAAGAACCCCACACAATCCTTATAGGAAATGGCTCTCTCTACAATCTGATGAAACTTGGATATGTTGTTCAGCTAGCCATAGATCCCACGAGCGATTTTCAAGATATTTGCTGTTTTATGTGTGTAAATTGAGGTTTCGCTGGCCGAACCAATGTGTGGCGCTTCTTGTGCCCTTCTCTTCCAGTCCACTCTGGCCTGTCTCCGCTTCCTCGCCACCCATATCCGAGGCTCAGACTCCGACGCTCACGGTGATAAGACCACCCGGCTCAGCAACGATGAGCAAAGCCTAGTGGGCGTCGGAGTCCGAGCCTCGGGTATGGGTGACGGGGAAGCGGAGAGCGGCCAGAGAGGACTGTAAGGGAAGAGCACAAGACGCACCGCACAATGTGCTGGCCAGCAAAACCTCAATTTACGCACATAAACCGGCGAATATCTCGAAAATCACTCGTGGGATCTCTTTCAGCCCTTGAGAACTTTCGATCAGAATGACTAGCTGAGCAACATATCCAAGTTTCATCAGATTTTAGAGAGAGCCATTTCCCATGAGGATTGTGCGGGGTTCTTTTGTCTTATCAAAAGTGTAAAGTCAAGAGGGAATATTTTAAACATGAAAGTAGTAGTCAAAAGTCTAATAATTCTCCGTAAAAACAATTTTTTGCTCTAAGTGAGGTCAAAACTTAATCAGACCGATAAAGAGGAAATAAAAAACAATCGGCAGAGGAATTTAGAAAGTCCAAGTTTCAATAAAATCGGACTTTTTAAATTCTTCTGCTGATCACGTGTACCAATCACTTTCTCAATAGAAAGTGATTGATACACATTCACTCACTACGTATAGCTATGAGGGTATTGTTGTGAACACATTTAATGCTATTTTCCCAATCAATGCACTCATTTACTTTTGTAATCTAACTCACTCTACTTACTTATTACTTTTGTGATTCTCTGTGATAATTTAATTTTTATTTTTCCACAGTACTACATTGAAGATGCTCTTGGAGATAGGGTGTGGGTGGACCGACCCGAATGTCGTCCTTTTGTCGCCAACATAGTCGCTTGTCTCAATACTAAAGTTTCACCAAAGATAGAGACTGAATTTCCTCTAGATGAACCAGAATTAAACCCACAAATTGATGCCATGTTTTCTTCAAATGACTATCAAGTCATGCCCAGGTATATAGTATAGATAATATATGAAAAAATTAAACACTAAAAAGTGACCCGAAACTGTATGTAACAAGGTGGAGAAGTGGTGCACCGGTAAAGATCTCTCGGCGTGACTCCAACTTAATATTCCATTGCAAACTGCCTGAGCTGAACACTCTCCCCCCCTCAGTTTCATACTGGTGCGCATTAGAGTTCTAAAAATTTATTTTTGACTCTAATTTTAATTTTTGGTATTTCTTGGCTTTGTTTCCCCGCGAAATGGTGTGGACCCAGCACCACTTCTCCACCTTGTTACATATAATAATATATGTATGAAATTCCTCCTCAGGGTTATAATGGAACAGTAAGCCTTCCTTCCTCTTCAGAATATGTTCTATGTCCTGTTGACACCACCACATGTCCCAACTAATTTTCGGTTGGCCTGCTTCTATAATGAAAAGTTGATAATTAATAGTAAAACTAGTGTTTTGAACTAGTGAAGAGTAATAAAGGAATCGTAAAAAAAAGGAAGTGTGTGAAGCCAAATAGAAGAAGAAAAGAGCAAGATGTATACAGAGAAGCATAGGAACAGTCAGATATACAATGTCTGTTCAATTAAAAACTGGATTTTGTTGATAACTAGCCCACCGTACGTTCGAAGTAGGTTTTCTTGGACTTTCCTGAAAGCTGATAACATATTGAAGAAACTTACTTGCAATTCAACAAACCAATTGCATTTATCAGCAAGAAAAATGATTCAGTATTCAATTAGAGTGTTACTATTCACCCTCTAATTTATTGCAGCATTTTTTATTGATTTTCTCCCTTTTTAAGGTATTCAAGTAATCAAGATCTAGTAGAATCAACTGCCGTTGAAGTCATCAGGGATCAGCTGAATCGGCGGCAAGGTGTGGAAAATATGACTCGAAATGTCATCAAGCTTCTATCAGCAGCTTGTGGATTAGCCGAGGTAATTTTTCTCCATGAGGATTTTAATCTTTGTTCTGGGCCTAAAAAGTAACTTAAGCTTTCATAGTGGAACCAACACAAAAGAACATACTTTCATAAACCTGCTACAATTCGAGTGTGATGTCAGGCAGCTCAAAATGCAGAGGCATTGAAAAATACTTTGCTCCTAACTTACTTCTTAGTTTTTTGTTGTGAAATTTTTAAACACTCGATCGTTCTTACATTTTGAGTTTTATTGCAACCGGTTTTCAAATTGGGCAGTGTCATTTCGACTAAGTACAATAGAAATGTACTAAATTGCCGCCAGTTTGAACCAATAATAGAGGTTTGAAGTTTTATTCCCCCATAAGACTCAATGATAAGAACAAAGTTTAATGACCATTTTCACGTTCAAAATATTTTTGAATTCTGAACTACTCGAAACATATTTTTCTTCAAAATTCAACTGCGTGCGTTTCTATTATGCTCAGTCCGTTTGTGCCCAGGAACGTAGAACCGTAACATACTTTTCTTTGGACGTAAATACTGCACCCAGAAATTCCTCTCATTCCCAGGTAAATACTGAACTTGAGTTGCCCAGAAAGGACTTACGTTGTGTAGATGGATCAGAAATCATCAATCTTTTTCCTGCTAATTTTTCTTTTTTAATCCAGTAATGAAAGCATTTTGAGGTTAATTTGAGTATTGTATCCGCTTTTTTATTTTAGGTAAGAGCAATGGTTGCTCCTCGCCTTGAAGTTTGGCTCCAGAATCCGAAGTTGATGCGTGGAGCACAAGAACTTTTAATGGCTGTCTGCGTGAACTGCACCACTCACACTGTGAAAGATGTTGAAGTTATTTCAGGGCTGGTGAAGACACGGCTCAAAACAAAGGCATTGAGTTCTTTTTATACTCAGGGCATCCGGTAAGTTCAGTCTTCTAGACAGATGATTTTAATACAGATTATATTGGATGGGGCCGTGCAAGAAATCCTTGATGGTAAACTACCACTACGCGTCTATTTTGTTAACACCAATAAGCTCTGATAAGTCCGCTACCGTTCGAGATGGCTGGCTTTATCAGAACTGCTTTAACCCTGATTCTGTTCATTATTGCCTTGCATGTTTGTATTTTAGTTTGTAGGGCTGGTAGACCTGAAACAGCGAGTTCTTTTATCATTTTTTGCATCAGAATAAATTTGAAGGCACCACCAAAACCATCCGCAAACTCCAACTAATCAAAATGTTTCCTTGAAATTTGTTGTGATTATTTTACAACATTTGAAGAAACTTTAGAGGGAATCTCAGTAGAAACTGTCAGTTTAGTTCTTTGTTAAAAAGATAAAATATGCATAAAAACAAGACTCATGACGTTTCATTTAAGCTGGGTATTTTTTTACTTTACCCATCGATATTCTCAGCCATGAATGCGGTTTCCTGAAGCGCATTAGAAATATTTAAAGATGATTTAGTTGTATTAATTTTTTAACAATTTTGTTTTCAGAGAAATGGTAAACGCTCACCCAGATAACTTGTCAACAGCCATTAAAAATACGGTGTACAATGAACTATCAAATTCAAGGAATCCCAATAATATGGCAATTTTAACAGCAATTTTCCAATCAGACTCAGATAAATCATCAGCGTTACTTGCTGAGATCTTTATGGTAAGATATGGCATTTGTTTTTTTTTTAAAAAAAATTTGTATCTTCCGTATCTTTATTTAAAGTTTTGCTCATTATGTTTGTATTTAGAATTTTTTTCTAAAACATTATTTTATGAAGCAAAAGGAGAAAAAATCTGCTGCTTGGATGTCATACATTTTATATTAGATAGTTTAACCATTAATTTCAATCTAAAGTATGATTTTCCTGAATAATCGTTGATTTGAACAAGGGCAGCAGCCAAAGTAACTAGACGGTGTAAGTCGGCAATCACATAACTCTGTTTGCGACGTTGCAGACTTCCTGTCATGCTTTATTTTTTAAACGGAAAACTACTCAACGGCAATTCTTTAAAATTGCCATGATTCTTCTCCTCTGTGCAAAGTAAATTCTGTATAAACTTCAAGAAATGATGTCAATTTGTTCTCCTTTAAAAAAATAACATAGAGACGGAGATTTTCAGACTCTGCAAACGAGATATTGCGGACTTACGCCGTCTAACTATCATTTCTACACTTGTCACATTTTATTATCTGACCATTTGATAAAAATATGCTGTGAATCAACTCTTATTTGTTTCAGGAATTACTCACCAATCGAGAAGATTATCTTCGAAACTTGCGTGTTCTTTTACGGGAAGTGTCACGTGCCCTTCGTTCAGACCTTAATTTGGCTGTTTTCTGCCGCAGTCTGATGAGCCAAGAAGACCCAGTTCCACAAGGATGTGACTATGCGGAGCGTGTTTTTGCAGGGATTATAGATCTCATTTCGCTCTGCATTCTCCTTTGCATTGGGCCTCAAGCCCGTGGTGAGAAGAAGGATTCTGTTCAGGTAATTACCTATCACTCTGTAACCAAACAAAGGAGCTTGCAATACCAATTTTAAACGGCTGATTAGATTTTTTTAGTTTTCTGGAAAGGTTAAAATTTGGGTCGCAGTTTTCCTCCTTACTGTAATGAAACTCCTTCGTATCATTAGGAGAGATAATTACCGATATGTTACTTTATCCTGGTATTTTTAACATTTAAAAAAGCAAGTATATGCAGTTTTAGATATCTTTAGGTTAACTTATTTAAATCAAGATCAGAATCAAAACCTGAACTGTTTAGTCTAAGAACCACCTACAGTTTGCTGCTGGAAGTATGCTGTATTGTGCAGTATGCTGATTGACATTCTCAAAGATATTATGGATTCACAATTATTTCGTCATTTGAAAAAATTGTGTTTCCAATACGGACAAAGCACTTTGTGATCTGAAAAGTTTGATTTTTAAAAAGTCAGCATCCCACTTTTTCCGGAGACTTCGACTCTTTCACACATTTTAAGTGATGAAATTTTCTATTTCAGATTGACAAGATGCATCTACTTGTCGCTACAATGCAGTGTGATACTGTTCACTGGCTGCATGATACTGCAGTAAGTGTTTATCGACCGTCAACCCAAGAATTTATTCAAGCGATCCACAAGGTATAGTTTCCAACTTTTCTAATCCATTTTACTGCAAGAAAAGTACCCTCTTTTGAAAGCTCCTAAATAATCGTTTTGTAATAGATTTTCACTTGCAAGTGTGAAGCCGGAAGAAAAACTATTTCATTGAAATAAGGTGTCTCCTAAATCAGCTATTGTCTTGAAAATTATTCAGGAGAAAATAACCTCACAAAACTTTGGTGAAGTCTAGCAACTGACTTCAGTGAAAAATTCATAATTTTTCATAACATATGCACAGATTTTGGGAACTAGAATTTAAAGATCTAAATTATTTTAACCAAAAAAGAGAGAAAAATGCTTTTTGGGTAAGGTTTGGTAATCTTTTCCAAGGTTCGGTTCGGACCTAAAATTCAAAGTTGTCAAAGCCGTACTTTTGACAGGTTTTGATTAATTTTGACCGATAGTTTTATGAGAGTTTATCTTATTATTTGAATCTATTTGGATGCCACCATACTTTTTCAAATTCAGAGTCCTATAGTGACATTGCGTCTGAAACTATCCATCGAAAAAAATTACTAAAGACGGTGTTTGTTGTTCACTGAAATCAAGGACATATTAGGGTTAGCAAACATTCAAATTTTTCTTCTTGACAACTACCTGAGCACCCTTTTAAGCAGGGATTCAAAAAAATTGATTGTAAAAATTTGTTTCATAGCAAAAATTTGCTTTTTTAATATGTTTTATTCTACTACCTCTTACTTTTCCTCTTTTTCCAACTTTATGTACAGGTCTTACTCATGGCTCCACCAGAGCATTACTACAAAATTGATATGTGGCCGCTAGAAAGTGAGCGGGCACTTTATTTAAGACTAGCCTCAGAAGTACCGCTGTCGCAGGCAACTCTTATTAGGCTCCTCATCATTGGTCTTTCAAAAGAACACCCACTTTCAGCTGTTGATACCTTAGAGCTTGCTGAACAACTGGTCAAGCGCACTGCAGCCCTTCCTGGTGCACCAAAACTTCAGGGTATATTTTCCTTTCTTTGCAAACTAAATGAATTTTTTTTTATTTATTTATTTATTTTAAGAAACTATTGACACCTATCATTACTACTTTATGGGAGCGATTTCAAATGATCTGACTAAATTTACTTAAGAAATTCAATGGGAACACATTTAAAATACATATTGCTAGTGTTTCTTAGTCAGGAAAAATGGAAATTTTGGAAACCATCTCTCTCGGCTCTCAGACTTCCAGTGGTATGTCATATTTCAATTTGAAAACCAATTTTATTTAACTTCATAGTATTTTTTAAAAATTCCATATTTTCCTCTCTTCATCTGAAGAATATTTTGTTGAAATTTTAAGCAATAAAGACTGCTCATTTTCCTTGGGAAAAGTAAAGGGAAATGGAAATATTGAAATACCAAGATCAAGTTATGTGGTCTCTGGGTTCAGTCATTGTCATTTATTTTAAAGCACATCTATATAGGAGCTATTGACAATGAAACTTTCAAATCATTTATCTTGTTTGCGGTGTTCATAAATCCCCACTCCCATTTTATTTTTTTGACAGGAAACAAATCAACAGCATTGCTTGAAGTTTTCACAGAATTTTCTTCGCATGGAGAAATAAAATATCGGAAATTCCAAATAATTAACGTTGAGAAGTTTTCCGTTTAAAAAATAAAGTATGACGAGAATTCATCTCCGTTGCACACTAAGATACGTGGTTCTGGAGTTTCACCTTTGATAAGTTTCTTTTCAATTGACTCAAATATGTTGCTGATTTATTTGTATAGTTTCAAAAGTGAGCCATTGGATAAAAAAGGGAAAGTCAAATCCTGATTTTGTAGGGTAACCCACCATAAAATCCAAGCAACGCCTACATTGTGTGTATTTTCAGTTCACCTAAATTTCCTCATTGGATGTATTTACCTAATTTTGAGTAATGACTGTTTCAGCGGACAAACTTGAGATACTGGACCTATTATTTAATCTGAGCGCCTACCGCCATCCAGAAAATATTGATCTCCCAGAAGGATACACACCACCTCCTTTGGCAATAACAACCAATTACTGGAAAGCTTGGATTATTCTGCTCTTTTACTGTGCTCATAATCCTGGGACGTTTGGCGCACATGCGTGGGAAAAGTATCCCACTCTACGCGCTCTTATTGAAATGTGCATAACAAATCACTTTGTATTCCCATCTAACACGGATGATCTTCAGTTTTTAGCCTTGGAGAAACAAAATATTTTGGAATTCGAATCTCACCTTGCTGCTGCGTCAACTAAGGTATGACGTCTTTGATCAAAAATGTCATGAGAGAATCTTCACATTTCACAATTACATACAAACAAAGACATGGGCTCTCTGAATGGCAAGCTAGGTTGTTGATATTATTGTTTGAAAGCTCCTTAAACCAAATTTCTAACAGAATTTCCGCCGTTCCTGGCCGCTGAAAAGTAGAGCCTATTTGATGCTCTTTGACTAATAACTTCCTCACAATTTTTTAATTTGAAACAACTCTTTATTTTATTTTATATTTATCCGTTTTTAATGACTTGTACTGAAAACTACCAGCATAGTGAGGCAATTCTAATTAATAGACATAGATGGTTGAATTATTCAGTGTGCAATGAAAGTTAATAGATCAATATATATATGAGTCGCTTTTATAACGCTCTTTGGCGCTTTATGATGCCTAATCGCCACAAAGCTTGGTTTATAGATCAATACCTTCTCTTAATTTGATGCCAAGGTTTTCAAATGACCTTCAAATTGTCACTCAAAATAACTGACACTTTGAAAGCACGGTCATTAGGAGTTTTTTTTGCTCCCTTAACTTTTATTTTAAAAAAATATTACCCTTGTCACAACTTTCTTTGCTTTTGTCCTTTGTTAGGCTGTCATAACGGAGCAAAGCAGTTTATTACTTAGCCAACTGACAACACTTGATCCATTTGGATTGACAAGAAAACCACCGCCAGCCATAATTGAGTATTTACGCAGCTTGAACACTACGCACCGTCTTGGTCATTATTTGTGCCGCTCCAGGAATCCAGACTTTTTGTTAGACATCATCCAAAGACATGGAACCTCCCAGTCAATGCCATGGTTGGCAGATCTTGTCCACAGCTCCGACGGATCTCTTGAGTATGTTCAGTTACTTCATTATTTCTGTTTCAACACCATCCCTTCACCCTCTCATTGAGCGCCTCCTGTGCCTCCTCCCATCGGGAACCCATTCTAGGATCTTCTTCGGCAACACGTCTCTTACCATTCTCTGAATATGAACATGCCATATAACAATAATGAAATTGCAGAAATGCATATTTTGGTTTGGGGTGTTGCAGACGTCCTTTTATACTTCATTTTCTACTTGGAATATTACTAAAGATCATATTTGGAAAACTTTGGTGATTTTTCTTCTCTATTTGAAAATAACAAGCCATGTTGTTGGTTCGGTCTTCTTTTAAAAATTAAAATAATAGTGGAGATTTGGAGACTCCGCAACTGAGATATGCATTTCTGCAGTTTCACCATCGATAAGTTTTTTTGTCATCCTTAATGTCATGAAAATGGTCTTTTTAGCACCCATGATCTCCCTTACCGTCTCATGCCGACTCGCAACAAAGTTCATCTTTTACTCTATCAGTTTATCTTTTAAAAATCCTTCCCCACCAAAAATCAACAACAAAGGTAGCAAATTATTTTATTATTTAAGTTTTTGCATTTTGACTGACAATATCCTTTAACTAGAGTTTGGAACAAACAAAATTTGTCAATGGACTAATAATAATCCAAATGTCTTGATTCTTTCAGTCACCTACCTGTTCAGTGCCTGTGCGAATTTCTGCTGAGCAGTAGTCCGAAGCAGCAGACAAAATTCCAGCAACTTTTAACTCACCTACAATCTCAATTAACTGATCCTGCCCGCGATCCGGTATTAGTCTCAGAAATTCTGGACTACTTCCTCCGCAGGCTCAGCACATCTCACACAAGGACGCATGCCATCTCTGTAAGTTATCTTGCCCCTTTAAAACTCTTAGTCTACTTGTAAACTTCATTTTACTTTTAACTACTATAATTAAATGCACTCAAAACACAATTTACTCTAACGATCATAAGTAAGCCTAAATTTCTCGTGAGTTCATTACAAAGATAAATCATATTTCGACAATTCCAGATTGCAGAGTAAAAACAAAAAAATAAATAAATAAATATGTAAGTATTTAGTGTTTTCTTCTAATATTGAAGGGAAGAATACCCTCTAAAATGTTATTTGATGTCAGCCACGATGATAGTGCATCCCATGGGTTTCTTCATCTTGAAATCATTGATCAGTGTCCTACATATCTGCACTAGTTGCACTCAACTTACATCATTCATGAAACCAAGAAAGGAGAACCAATGGAATGCTCTACTACAATAGACAATGTAGTTTGTTTTCAGAGGATTTTAAAATCTTTACCGGTATCAAACCAAATAATTTGACGTTTTGTGTCTTAACTAATTTAATTACGTATGTATTACCATCCTGTTAGAAGCAATTATCAAAAATCAAAACTGTAACTTGAGCACTTGCCTTATCATCACTTGTAGTAAAGAATTTCGTAACGTAGGTGTATAAGTAGAAGATCTGCTCCTTTCAATGAGTTTTTATGCAGCTTTTTAGTTGTGTAAAATATTCTCGTCTACCGCTTCTCTCTAATTTTTTTTTCTTAGTAATATTCCCAGTTCTGGATCTCTAATAATGGCCATAATGTTTTATTCTTTTCTTTTTTAAAGTTATGTCTATGCTCAGATAATTCTCATCTTCATTCTTTCTCTCTCATACATGCTCACTCGTTAACTTTCAGGGTTTGAAATTAATTTTGTCGGCAACCTCAGATGATGATATGATCGACAATGAGAAAAGGACAAGCGTCCAAGAAGATGCACTGTGGACCCTCAAAGTATTACCCAATCTACCACACTTTGCCATCGCAAAAGGACAGGTATAACTTATTCTGATGTCATAAATGACTCTGCATGAAACTTGAAATTAACACCCTAGAGATTCAGGCGTCAATTTGATGAAACACTAAAATTATTTATCTGTGCCCAAAAAAGTGTAAAAAACTCAAACTAGACTTGAATGAAGAGAAAAGTAGGCTTGCACAGCCCTACTTTCAAAATGAGTGGAAATTTGAATTTTTAATTAGGAAGGGTCTCTGGTATTTGGAAGGAAGTGTTGCATTAAGTTCAGTTCATGTTTATTTTTAATCAGTTTTTGAATTACAAACTTAAGCTTAAAAACACTGATTTCTTTTTACATCAAGGCATATCTACAAATTATTTCTGAAACACTTCTTTAAATAATGCTACTAGTATCTCGGTTTGAACATCATTCAGCACCAAGGTTTCTTTTTCCTCTTGACAGTTGCACATATATAATTTGTTTGACTTTCAGCAAAATTCAAAAGCATTTCCTACAGAGATTTCAGTATTTCATAAATTTTAAATACAAATGTCATTTCATGTGAAACTGCAAGCTTGTTAAGGCTCTCATGTTCCTCGTACTCCATTTTTACAGATTGTCAATGCAATAGCCCAGGCGTGTCAGGTGGAAAATGATCCAAGCTTGATCGCAATTTATATTTCATTTTTGTCGGTTCATGGTATCACTTTGGAAACTTTGCCTGCTCTGGCTCTTGAAATGGCCACCCTCATTGTCGAGCGGAACATAATATCCGCCGCTCTTTTGCCAAGCGGACCTGCCTCTCCACCCACTCCTACGCTGAGTAATTTACTCAGCATATTCTATATTTTCCTCAACAAGGTATTCCTTTTTTCACATACATATCTCTTGAAATTGTGGGGAGGTTTTTTTTTCTTTCAATTTAGAAATTAAAAGCATCATGCGTTCTCTACAAAGCCGATTTGAAAGGACTCCAATTTTTTACTGTAATTGAAATTTGAACTTTTTGAAAATAGTATCGACCTAGTATTATTTTACCACCTTGTTATATATCTATAGATATTGGTCTTTTTCTCCTTTCCGGTAGAACTTGTGGGAAGGTAGGTTTTTTTTATTTTTCCTCTCAATTTGGAAATTGAAAGCACCATGTGCTCTCTTCAAGGCAGATTCGAAAGGATGGGAAAAATTGTGTTCCCTAGCCAAAAAAATGGCCTTTCTGACAGAAAAAACTGAAAAAAAAGCTATCAAGTTTTCCCAGAGTAACATTTCTTTAAATCCTAATGCTCCTATTGTACTGCTTTAACTCTCTTTTCACATGCTAGAAAAAGAAACATACCCTAGTATCATTCTTAAAACAGCTTGAGGTTTGCCCAGGACAAAATTTTCAAACCAGTGCCCTCTCCCAAAACACTGTCATTATTTAATATTTACTCCAAGCGATGATATGAAAGATTAAAAATTCCAGCAAAATAAAATACTGACATTTTTTTCTTGCTATCGTGTATCAAATTTAACTTTATTTTTCTCCCGTTTTTTTCAACTCAGGCCCAAGCAGAAGAAGAGCTGTGCTTCAGCTGGGATGACAGCACTGATCAGAGTCAAGAAATTATGATCAAGTGGCCAACAGGCGAAGAGTGCACGCTGCATGTACTGATAGTTCATGCTATCGTCATTCTCCTTACATATGGAGTACCTCCTGTTACCAATGAAAGTGCTTACAACAAACTCCACTACAACTACCTTCTTGATCTCTGGTTCCCAGCGAATCCGCAACACCGACCAACTGTAAGTTTCTCTCTTGCAACCAGCTTCTGACGGTAGAAACGTCACCTCTGTTGTAAAAAAGTGACTGCATACAGAGACTTAGGTGTATTTAGAAAAAAATTTCAGGACAAAAATCTTGTCAGTTTGACAAATTTTTGATGGAATACACTATTACAGATTTAAAAGAATAAGTTATGACAAGTTTAGTTAATATTTGTGCTATCAATAGCTGTAAATGGCTCTTTGTGGCATTGCAATTCTACATTCCGGAATCCTGAATACGATTAATCATCAATCCCTTGCCAAATAAGGAGCTGAGGTGATGCATTTTTTTGAGTGTGTAAGCCATCATAATTTTAAGGAGATGGTCTCTTTACATCCCAATCAAAATTTTAAGCTACAAAGGCAAGATCAAGGAATTGCCCTGAAAGTAGGTGTTTCCACTGCAAAATCAGGATGTCTAGCATCAGGATTTTTCCGATTCTATCAGGATTTGAGGTCAATCAGGATTTGAGGTCAATCAGGATTTGAGGTCAATCAGGATTTAATCCCGATTTCATCAGGAAAAATCGGTCGTAAAATCAGGATTTGAGAAAAGTCGGCTGTCTGAAATTCTAGAGTTTTGCTTTCGCATAAGCTTATGCAGAAATTTTAATTGTTCTCCACAAAAAATCAGGATTTGGAAAAATTATGAAATCAAGATTTAGCAGTAAAAGCTCAGGAAAAATCAGGATTTCCCAAAATGAAAAAAAAACTGGACACCCTGAAAATGCTTTATAGATTAACTAATCAAAGTTCCAGTCCATTTAATTCTAGTTCTAATTTTATTAATTTAGAGTTTTGTTCTTTGTGTTTTTTTGTCTGCCAATGTCTCCTGGAGAGAAACGTATTAAATTGACAATTCTTTTTTTCAGGCTGTCATGATTGACACATGTGAAGACTATGAGTTAATTCCAGATTGGCTGAAGCTTCGCATGATTCGCTCACCTGTGGCCAGAATAGTAGACACAGCCTTAGATAAACTTGGCCCCACTCAGTTGGTGCTCTTTATCCAATCCTTTGGGGTTCCTGTCGAAACCATGAGGTACAGCAGAACTTCATCCATTCATCTTTCTTTGCCTTATTAAAAATCAAAGAATCATAACTGTACAGCCGTTTTTTTTAGAGGATCAATTTGATGCCTTAGTCTGGGGAAGCCTAATTATTATTTTTAATACTTGGAATAGTTGTCACTGGTGAGTTTTTTGGTGTTTTGTAACTGTTATTAAATTTGAAAGTAAATGCCAAATTTACAGCAGTTTGGTAATTTATAGCACTCCCTTTAATATCTTAAGCCTTTGTTCCAGGCTTAAAATATTAATTTTACTCCTCCTAAATGCAAAACAGATCCTGTTCTATGAAGTTGTTTGCAGTGTAGATGACTTTATTATAATGTAAATGATTTAAAGGTATAAAAAATAAAATTCAAGCAATAGACTCCAATCACTAATGAACCTTTTCTCGTGTTCTAGTAAATTGCTGCAAAAACTTGATCAAAGTGTGATGACAAACCAAGCAGACATCGAAGCAGCCATGATTGACAAATCGTACATGGCTAAATTGTTAGATTTGCAGAGTATGCGTGGAGCAGTTGGCGGTAAAATATTTGCGCAGCTCCTAGAAGCACCTGGGCAATCAGTCAACCCAGCAGATTTAGTCACACCAATGGAACTGTCTTTACCAGGTACGATGCCTCTGCATTTGATTAATACACCTACCTAGGTAAATAATCTATGGTCAACTAATAGCATACAATAAATTCGAACTACTGTACGGGAGAAAAGAGAAAACAAGCCAAAAAACTCTATTACGTAGGTATTAGAGAAGCGCTCAGCAAAGGGGAAAGTACAATACACAAAGCACAAGGACAGGATTGAAAGAAAAAGACGCGGCTCAAAAGCTGCATTTCAATTTTAATGGTAACGCAACAGCAGTGTTTTATGGAGGTGAATTCTTACAGGTTCAGAAAAAGTCATCACTGGTGGCAAAAAGTTCGGACAAAAAGAAATCAATACCTGGACTTTCAGACATAATAATAAAATAACCATAAACTTCCCAGCAAAGAAATTTTTGGGAATGTTATTTGTTTCATCTGCTAATGTATATTTGGACGTATTTCTATCAAACAGACCTATGTGGAAGTGAGAAATATGGGGTGTGCTCGTTAGTTCTCTGGCCGTAAGAGTGAATGAGAATAATTAAGCGCCAGTGACGTCAGCGGCAATGAAGGAGCTGGAGCGGAACGGGGAGATCGTCGTCGGGGCGCTTTAACTCATGAGCAATATCCACAACGCTCTCGTGCCATGCCCGCGGCTCATGAATTCTGCATTCAGTTGGTGCTTAGTTCCTTTTGGTAGAATGTCAAATCCCGCTTTTCCAATTCTTCAAAAGAAATCACGCCCATTTTTACATCGCTTCTTATGCAGCTTTCTAGAGCACACCCCATATTTCTCACCTGCACATAGGTCTGTTTCATAGAAATACGTCCATTTAATAACGTTAAAGGGGGTATTATTAGCTAGTAAATAGAAAATTCTGAGAATCTTGTCAGTCTTGCTTTGTTGAGTTGGCGAGCCATTCAATCGCTTGAGCGCTTTACTATAGAAGAACTCTAGTGGCAAAACAAAAACAAGTAGTGCCTGCCTATCGGCTAAGCGCTTAAAAAAAACGAAAATAGGGTGGCTCAGTCATATTTCTAATACAAATGTGGATGAGCTATGTCTTTTGTCGAAAAATGACGTAACTAATCAAAACATCGTTGCCAGGTCTTGTGACAAGTTATCTTGTCATCTCTCATTTGTCTCAGAACGGTTGTTATGAGTATACTCGCCATTGTATGGTAATGGTGTAACAGTCTAACATCATTCTGAATTCTAATTTTCACTGTACATTATTTCAGCTCCTCAAATAGCTGACAAGGAAGCCGTCAAACTTCTCAACCCCATTGAGGGTCCAGCCTTGGTAGAGCAAAAGTACCTCGCAACGGAGGAACAAAAAATTATGTTGAAACCTTTTGTCTCTCGATTCTTCAAGGTAATCAATCCCTAAATTAATATTTCTTCCTTCTGCAACCCTTGTTCTCCATATGAACAGATTAGTACTTGCATGAAAGAATTTTAGATCTGAAGAAATTTTTTCCCCCCGAAAAAATATTTTCCTCTTTCAAGAATCGTAAATAATGATATTGGAATCATATCGCGTAACTTTCTGGAATCATATAATAGAAAATCATGAGAATTTACACAGGAAAAAAGGAAAAAGTCATTGTCGATATGTTAATTGCATAAAACAAATTTTGAAAAGTTAAAATGTAGGTATGCATTTTTTTCTGTTTTAAACCTTTTTATCACGGATTTATGTTTTAATTATTTTTCAGACGCTGTCCTACGAGATGAAAAGGACAAAAATAACGAATCAGACAACCATCTTTGTGAAAGAAATTCTCGTCATGCTGATGAAAAAGTGCTCTAAAGTGAAATCCTTTATTGGGGCAATCATAAGAGAACAGCAGTTCTCATGCTGTTTGTTTCGTATCCTGGGGTCCACGATGACCAAAGATGGCCTGGCAATGTTGGAACTTATCGCCAAGATGGTCCTCGACGGACTCACAGCCATGAAAGTTACCAAACACCCTCTCATCAATATTTTGCACCAAATCCGGAAGAGCAATAGTGTCTCGCGAGTAGGCAAGAAAAACGTTTCGCTAGAGGACTCAATTCAAGGTAATTCATTTTTTGAAAGTGTGAAGGTTGTCAACATCTGAAATTAATTTGGATTTTAACTGGAGAAAAAATATGGAAACCAAAGTTAGATTGATCAATTTTTTTAGGTTGACTTAAAGTTTGCTGTAGTTAACTCATCATTTTTCATGGAATTCATTACTTCATTCTTTTCAATATTTTTTCCTTATTTTTAATTTTTAATTAAAGCATACTTGTGCCCATGCTAGTGCAATATCTGAACAAATTCTCAAATTTTTCTTCTTTTTCCTGTCAGTTATGCTGTGTCCTCCACTCATTTTTCTCTTTTTTTGTTGAATATTTTGAAATATTTTTTTCAGAGCTAAAAATGCATTCCTCATATCACCTGGAGAAAATCGGTCGCGACCTACTTTGCTCTGAGACATTACAATATCAAGACAGCACCCCTCTTGTGGAGGCAATCAGCAATCTTTTAACAGAAATGAAGACTCATCATGTTGGCAGCACAGGGCTCTTTGTTGACTGGCTAGTTCAAATTGAGCCAGAAATAATCGGCACTTCTCACGGTTTGCAGGTAAGCAATAATGAACTTCAATTCGTTGTTTCCTGGATGAAAAAACGTAACTTTATCCCAAGGTTGCAAAATTGACGCAAACCATTCAATTTTTTCACAGAACTGTAGCCGCGCAATTTCTATCCAGAATTTTGCTGCTTCATTGCATCTAATAAAAGGAAAAATCAGTGACAATTTTTGGTAAAAATTTCCAACAGTTTTCTGGTAAAAATATAATTTGTCAATGGAAATTTTGCAATTCTAAAATGTTTTTACGCTCTTTCGCCTTGGAAACTATAACTCATGAAACATTTATTTTTTTGTGTTTCCTCTTACGTTTCAACTGGGCTTTATAACACAACAAAATAACAGGCTCTTGACTTCATAGACTGATCAATCTTGAAAAGCATATTTAATTTCACTTGCCTGTAGAGTAATGAAATTTTTCCTTCACAGTCTTTCTACTGTTAAATGAACTAGAGTGAGTATTTATAAGTACCTTTAATTAAGTAAGAGCACTAATACTTCTTGAGTTAGTAACAATTAAGTTAACATTATGCCAAAGCCATCTTAGCCCCCTCTAATGAATATTTCTAATTTATATTAAGAGGCATTGATGGTCATAGTGTAACATCAACATCTTCAGTACTGGAAATCTCTTAAAATTCAGCTGCATGTCATATTTTTGTCACTATTATTGTTGTAGTGACTTGATACTCTTGATGAGGAAATTATGGAATTACATGATTCCTACAATTAAAGTAAAATGTGACTGGTATACTCAATGATTGTTTCTTTTACAGATGGGGTTACTATTTGCAAGGAGAGATGAATCAAAACCTCTTGCTGTTGAAATGTGTCGGCCGTACCTATTAACCCTACTCGTTCACAACGCAAGCTGGGCAACTCTTCACTACAGCATGTCTCAGCTACTGTCCATTGACTCTGCGCAAAAGTAAGCCTCCTCGTTGAAGACCAATCTATTTCCAAAACTCACACTTTTTCTTTTTTCTCTCTTTCTTTCAATGTGGACTAATTACTTGGAATTAGCTCAACTGCACTTCATGTCGCTTAATTGGACTGCATTATACAAAAAGGAACTAAAATTTCTAGTTTATATGTACGAGTATCTATCTGCATAGGAAAATCAATAGCACACATGTTGTTTCCAAAATGAGTCATAGATTATAGCTCTTAATTGCAGAATGTAGTCGATTTTCTCTTAACTACCTATATAAACTAGCTATGAATTCTCTGTAAAATATGAAGAATAAACTCTCAAAGTTGTAAATTTTAGTGTTGCTTGGTTTTCTGTTTAAAGAGAAAAAAATAGTGAACAAAAACTAGGGAATTTCTGATGTTGTTTAGCTAGTTCTGGTTGAATTCGTCTAAATAAGCTTAGTATGTGCAGAATCCAGTTCTTTATTTCCTGCTTTCTAAGAGATTTAAATTTGAACAACCCTTCTTCAGCTGGACCAGTGTCTATATTTGTGTTGAAGAACTACTTGAAACGTTTCATCAATCATAGCCATCATTTATTACCATTCCAGGGTCTAAGAAGTCAGTGAACAGTCTTTGACTTTTACTTCTTTTGGTCAACACCTTCTCTGATACATCTCTGTCCTAAATATTTTCTGAATTGTATGTAACTTGTAAGAGTCAGTTTGGTTGAAACAGTGAAACTGTAAGTCAGTACCAATTTTTTAACAGGTTTTTCAAAATATATTTTTTTTCTACCTTCCAGGTTTGATCCAACAGCTGTCCTAGATTTTTTGTGGGCATTAACTTACAACCCCAAGTTGTGGCAAGGGAGGGAAAGGTACACTCCTAAGCATAAAGTAACAGAAAACTTACTTCGCTTGACACCAAACCAGGTATTTAAAGGATCACTTTTTGTCATATAGTTAAATTTTTCCAAATTATTTACTACAATAGATTATAATGAAAATGAAATAATAAAATAAATTTTAAAAAATGTCTAACTTGTACGATCAAATGAAGGTTCTTTTCAAAAAAAAAAGTTGCGTTTAGAAGTTTAGCTACTCAAGAATTTGGAAAGCAAGGCTTTGCTTGGCTTCAATTGGACGTATTTCTATTAAACGGAACTAAGCGCCAATTTGAGTTCCTTTTGAGGAATTTAGAATCCCGGATAGCGCGTTCTGTCAAACGGACCTAAGCGCCATGGAAAAGCATTGCGAGTATAGGACGGAATAAACCGGACGCCCGATTCCGTCGCCAATCCAAGCCCCCCTCTACCTTCCTCACCCTATGGCGCTTAGGTCCGTTTGATAGAAATACGTCCAATTATAATTTTCACTTATCCTTCATTAGTCGAGCAATTGATCAAAAAACCTCCTAATGTTAATTATGATCATCAATGAGGAGAAATGTGTTTAAAAAAAACAATGAACAAATAAAAAGAATTGAAGTCCATACAGAGGTGCTGTAGGAAAAATGTAGAAAACATGCTTTGATGTTACAAGTAATTTTGCTCATTCAAATTCGAAAATACTTGAAAACAACCCAAATATTCTCAAGCTTGACCTGACTCTTAAGTCACTTTTAATGCTAGATATGAAGCTGGAACTTTTCATTTCCTTCCTTAGCTTACCAGTTAATATTGTAATCTAATTACCACTCCAAAAAATATAGCTTTTGAACATGAACTAATGGCTGAGGCATAAGTCATTTTCATAGTTATACTTTCATACTAATCATTATCCTTGTATTTTGAATTGCTGATTTTTTCTTATTATATTTCTTCTTCAGGTGCTATGCGTTGTGGAGTACATAGTTGCAGAAGGTGCATCTAAAAAGGATCCTGTGGAAATGAAAGAAAAAATGAATTCCCGTCTCTCGCAACTCTCTGATTGTATTTGTTGTACAGATTTAAACATAGCCATCAAATTAATGGACCATCTCACATTAAAAGCGTCCCACTTGGAAGAGTAAGTCTACATTTTTTTAAAATACATTGAGGCAGAAGCCATTACAATTCCAAGTGGCATTATTTAAAAGAAGCATGCTTTAAAGAATTTTCAGATAATCAAAAATAATCTTAATTAAAAGAAAAACAAAAGTTTGCATGTATATTATTTTGTCTTTGGATTAAGTTGTAAATACACTGTAGTTGCATCCGAAAAAAAAACCGAATGTGTATTTGTAGCCTGCAAAACCAGTACTCATTATATACCAAAGTGTTATGTTTATGTGTTAAAAATAAAGTTAATGAATTTTGTAACTGATTCAATGTTCACAGGTCAAAAAGAGAAGTTTACTCAGAGCTCATTGTCTTGATGTATTTAAGAGTTCCTCAACTTAGTAACTTCATTAATGATAACAATCCATTAAACCAACATTTAGCAGAATTTTCCTCTACAGGTAATTTCAATGCATTTATGTCATCTCATCATATTTCTGGGGGGAAGGGGGGGGGGAGCCGCCCTCATTATCATTAAAGAAAGACCAACATCAAACCAATCAATTTAAAATGTGATTGACAGCTAAATGAAGGATGGTTACTTTGAATGAGTTAAAAAATTATCCTAGTTTTCCCAATAATCTTCAGTCCTCCAAAATACCTTCTTTTGTATGATTGAACTTTTGCACAAGAGTCGGAAAGCTTCCCTATCGGAATGATAGTTCATTTTAATTACTCTTGATTTGCTTTAGCAAGCTCTGAAATATTTTTAGTAATTGTCTGTACAAAGAAAATCCATGAGAGATAGTAAGAAAATAATTTAAGAGGATAATGTTTTTTAGGAACGTCAAGTTTGCTGGACACATTGTCACACACGCTGATCACTGCTTTAGCCTCAACCGCACATGTCAAGGAGTGGACTAGAAGAGCCCAAGAAATTGAACTTTGCTTACGCAAATTGATATCTTCTCATCCTTTACTTGTTTTGAGGTAATTACACACATGTTTTTATTCCTGAAGTTAATTTGAAACATGTTTCCGGTTGTAATGATGCGGCAGCTCCGAAGATATCCTGTAAAGGAGAAGGGGGAAGGCCCTCGAGGAAGGAGGCGATGGCGAGGGATATATCCCTCGGATCAAACCTCCGACGCGAGAGCAAAGGGGGAGGACCTCGGAAAAGGTGGCGATAGCGAGGGATATATCCCTCGGATCAAACCTCCCTGCGAGATCCAGGTAGAAGGAGGAAAAGGGATAAAACGAGGGGGCAAAGAAAGAGAATACTCGTTTTGAACTAGACGTGATATTCCTTGCATAAGATTAGCACGTTGTACAATTATTGACCAACAGCATCTGACGGTAAGAAAAAATCATTGAATATTGGCGACTCTACTTGGGTTTGAGCGTGGCACCAAGGTCCACGCACCAAGTGGCATCCGAAACAATACTGATCTCCGGGACTCCTCGCGCTCTGCTCTGAAGCTCTCTCGCGCTTTCCTCTCCTCTGCGCGTGCGCACTCCCTGGCCGCTCTGATTCGACGCTGCAATCGTCATCCAGCGAACTTGACCGGTCATTTCCGATCATGACCGATCCTGACTATGGAAACTTTCGCATCTCCTCACACGGTGACTGTGAAAAATCTAATATGTATCATTGCAAATGCTGGTGAAGTCAAGGATAACAGCTGAGTCAATATGTACTTAAATGGAAAAGTTGGCAGGTCGGGATGCATTCTGATGAAACAGATTTATAGTACTTGTAATCATGACTAATTTTACCTCAATGTCTAAATAGAGTTGTCTCATGAGGCTATTTCTGAACTTTCCAATAAAAATTGAAATCTTATGTATCAATAATCACTTTAATACTAATGTACTACTGTTTAAAGTTTTTTACTACTGTAGATTTCTCTCACTAATAAATGTCAATATTTCTCCAATTCATTTTATTTGCAGGCAGTTGCCTCTTCTAGCCTCATCGCTTGTTGGAAGAGTTCATCTAGAGTCCTATGTTTTTCGATCCAGAGCTCATCTACTCTTGATGCAACAGGTTTTATCAATTCTAGAGCTGCTCCAACCAAAAATTTATCGCCCTGAGTACAGTCAAGACCTTCATCTGATTATCCATACATATTTATTGATGTTCCAGGTAATTGATTATTCTCTTTTGTCACTGTACAAAATTTTTGTCCTACTGATGCCTGAAAAATTTAATAATTTTAACCCTCTTTGTTATTAAATTACTTTAGGTTTCAGACTCAGGGGGACACAAATATATGCAGTAGGTTTTTATAAATCTTTGTCTCAATCTCACGTTCCCTAGTTTCAAGCTATTTCATAAAAATATTTTAAAAATCTCCAAATCACAGAAATGTACCTTTACATTACCTTGTTATGCAATTAGGACTTAAAATGTTGAAGGGATTCTCAATTTTTTGTTTTGTTTCAGAATCATTCAGGAATAAAGGAAGTTTACCATATGATGACAAAATTTGTTGCATTTCTTCAGAATTACATTGGTCATGATGCAGAGCATGCTTTGAAGTATCTCCACTCTCGAGCAAATTTACTCAGGTATTTTGTCCCTTTCTCTATTAATACCCAATGCAAAGTCCACACAATATACTGCAACCCAAATTTATCAAATGAATGTGTCAAAAATTGCAATTAACAAAAGACAATACATATCTCAATTGAGTTTGTCGATTGACTTTTCCAAGCTGAACAGTTTAAAAATCAAATCAGGAACTGAACTTGCAAAATTCTATACAAATTTCAAGAAGATTTTGGGTGAATTTCTATTTTCATGGAAAACTGACGTTTAGAGGATGGAGTTTCGTCACTTGTAAATGAGAAAATTTCTATCGTAAGTTTTAGTTAGTGTCAAATTACTTTGGCTGAGAGATAAATGGAGTTTTACAAAAATGTACCAAGTCGCATTTTGGAAAAAATGAGCTAGAAGTAGGTTTCACTTTAATTAGTCGTAAATTTCCTCCTGTCAAAAATTCAATGTTGGGGGGAGGGGGGGGAGTAGAAAAAAATTTGAACCTGCAAATAGTCATTAAACTTGGTCTCAAGCATTGAGTTTTATGAAGGAATAAAACTTCAAATCTCGTTTTCTTGGTTCAAGTCGAATGCGACTTAGTGCGTTTCTGTTAGATTCAGCCTAAATAAAGTCTATATAAATCATTAAATTACTTTAATGTGTCCTGAATGATGCGGCTTTTTTGTGTGCTTTAAAAAAGTTGGGTTCAGCTTATTGATTTTCTGTGGGTGTTGATACATGATAAAAATCCCTGCAAAATTTTAGTCCAGTTTGGAAACAATTTTGATCAAGTTTAACAGAAAAGAACCAAATTGCATTTTTATAAAAAAAAGAGTTTGGCATAATTTTGATATCAGCTAGTTTTACATTTCTTCTTATCAGAAGTTGTAAACCAAGGAAACATATTTTGTGTGTGAAAACAGTCGTCAAACTTTGTCCTTAGCATAGAGTTCGATGTAGGGAGAAAACTTAGGACCTCTCGATCTCATTTCTAACTCAATACGACTTGGTGTATTTCAGTCATACAATTATGATCCATCTGATTTTTCATTCAAATTTAATGTTAACCTGTCTTGTCTTTCAAAAACATTATTTTGTTTCTGTTTCAGGGAACTTCAACTTACATACTCAGCACTGAATAGCGTTTGCGTTTTGATGTCTGGTGTCACAAGTGAAGGTGAAGTCTTTGTAACTGCTGCTACTCCGGTTGAAGAGGCCCCGCCAGACCTGGATGCAACTATTAAAGCATTGAAAGGGGATGGTGAGTTAATTTTAGGTTTGTTACATTTGCGTTCTGTGGAATCGTATCCTTCCCGATTCCCATTTCTGCCATTACAGAAGAAACAACTTAATCGGCCCGAAACACTGACACTTAAAGAACAGTTTAAGTTGTTTCTTTTTCTGCCATTACTCAGCAACCTCCACTCAAAAGTATTCACATTTGTATCTTTATCTGTTGAGAAGGCTCTGATCAACAACTTTAGCCTTTTTCCAACAGAGTGCGCTCAATGAACCACCAGACAAGGTGTGAATTTAAGCACTATGATGTATGTTTTCTCATTAAAATCTCATACAGAGCACAATTCGTACAACAAAATTTACATAAACAAATCAATTGTGCAATTTGATTCCAATTTTCCCAGGTTTTGTCATTGATGCTCTGTGATAATCAGTGAATTGTAAGCATTAATAAAGCCATAGTTTGGTTTTTAGCTCTCAACAAATTTTGAGAAGGATACATTTTTTTTTTCCAGGTTCCTATACGGCACTCATTGATTTAGATCATGCCACGTCGAAACGCTCAGCTGCTTTGGAACCGGCCCTGGATACACTTTGTCAGCTCCTATCTGACCCCAGCAACGGAGTCCGATCTTTAGCCCATTCTCTGACCATTCGTTATATCAAATGTAACCCATCAGCTGCCAAAATCGTTTTGCCCTACTTCATTGCCTGTTTTGATTCTGATTCGCCAGAAATCATTGCAACTGCGTGTGATAAGCTGCCTGAAATGGCTGTTTGTGCTCAAGGTATGTTATTTTTTAATTTAGCTTTCTCGCTTCACCTACTCTTAACTGTCACTCATAAAAGCCTTATTTTTGTCACTCCAAGATGTCGTTTCCCTCAAATGTTTGAACGAACAATGAAGTTAAAGTTACCTCAACAAATTTTGATTTAGCATTTTGAAGAAAAAATATAAATCACCAAGACAAAAGACTCCCTTGATCTGCTATTAGATCAGATGGCCATCAATTTCAATGATATCACAAATATTTGCAGAAATATTATGTAGAACAGGAATGATTTATTTTTCTCAAGTAATTTGTTTCAAGAAGCCCAAAAAGCAATTTCACAAACTTTTTTTTTGTTCCAGAATATGCATTACCTCTTCTGAAGAAGGTATTTTACCTAGGAATGTATTTGAATATTAATACAATGGCAAGTATCACCAAAACAATCTCCCTTCTGAACCTTCAATCTGGTTATTGAATTCTGCCTTCGTAGTCCGTGTAAGTTACTATTAAATGATCAAGTTCTGTGATATTTTTGTAAATAGTTATTTAAGTTTCTTATTTTAATGATTTAAGCATAATTGAAAATAAAGAAAAATTACAAATATTAAATTTATTTTTCTCTGCTCTCAATTATTTTGCAAAAAAACCTCCTCAGCGCTTGAGGATTTTACCCTCCATTTTATGTTTGATAAACTTTGTCCTTCAGGAAGGATATAACACAACCAATCCGACGAAAACAAAGAACTTGACGGACTTTTCATTCACTTTTCAAATATATGATGACTGCAAACAATGAAACCTAAGATACCAATATTCAGTAAAGTTTTCATTTTTCCCAATCTTCCAAATAACTCAAGTTTACCAGCTTCACTTCTAATTAAGAGCCGATATAATTTAAGTTTGAGGGGGTAAAAATCTGAGAACTAGAAAATCAAGGTAGAAAATTATATTGTAAAAAAATTGCTCAATTTATTTTAAGACTGAATTATTGTGTTTCAGCGTGTGACATTACATGAATTTATGTACTAATGTAATATATACACATTGATTTTAGCACCTTTAGAATCAGCAGCGCATGTCAAGAACCATCAGATGGGTCACTACACAAAAATTACACCAAGATACAGCCAGAAATGACACTTGAATATTTGTCTAGACATCAATTTATTTGAAACGTGTATTAATTATGATGCACGTTTACAAATTCACTTATCAAGTGAAAAAGCTGGAGTTACAACACGCCTCTTGTAATTAGACTGATACAATTATTTTCAAAAACTATTGATAGTTTTGATTTGCGTAGTTTTTGCTAGATATTTTCAAACTTTCTGGTCCTGCTAAGTACCTACTGAAAGGAAGTGCTCTAAAGTAGGTAGTCTGAATTTTCCTACCAGAGTTTCAGAAGAGCTTGAAAATTTCTGAAATACTTCATAGAGGAAAAAGAAATAACATTACATAAAGAAGATCTTGTGCATAATAAAAAAGCTGTTGATATATGTAAGTACACAAAATCATAATTGAGAGTGCATATAAACTGCATAAAATCTGTTTTCCTCCCCTAATGGTTTGTGGAATCAAAAATTTATAACATTAGGAAAACGCATATTTTTTTCTTTGTTTTTTTTTCTCTCTTTTTTTCTGCTAGAGTGGATGAACTAAGAATTTTATTTTCTCTCTGATTATAGAAAGGAGAAAACAAAGATAACTCCATATGTACGGTAAATTATGTAACTGTTCTGTCAACCTTTACAACTGGTCACATAGCGGTGTCTTCTCAAAAATTGTTGACAGTCTTTATTACGTTCTCTTTCTTAGTGCCACCTACTACCGTTTTCTTGAGAATGTCAAGAAACTTGTTTATTATTTCTGTCAGATCGGAATAGTAAATTTAATTTAAAAAATAACGTTTATTATAACTTAACACATTGCGTATCATTACACTTCAGCATTTCAGAAATAACATGAAGTCAACTAACAAATTGACTACAATCAACATTGCTACCAACAAATACGTACATGGATCGCATCATTCATTTTTTGGGGCTGGCGTCATAACATAGTTCCTTTTAGTATAAATACGTCCAATTGTTTAACATCACCTCTATGACACCCTTTGTTATACAACCCAAAATCAGGCATAATCTAATGAAAATCCATCAGTGTGACCATTGACGGTTACAGTGCTTGCATTACTCGATCCCTATGAAATATTAAAATAATTCTGAACTTTGGTACATTCCATTAAAAATTCGTCAAGCCACTTTTGAGAACACCCAGCTCTCATCTATTTCTGTGAAACTTTAAAAATTGTAATCCAACTCTGCTCAACTTCACGGGTTATCATGAGATCTCGCCCAACTAAATGAAATCATCACTTTCGATACCATTTTCATAATTCTTGTTTCACGCACTGAATATGGGAGCTGAAAATGGTAGTTGTCCGTCCGTGTTGCATGTTTCCCTAAATTTTGCGCATTTGATACAATTTTCATAAATTGATCGGGGCTGAACAGCCATTTGGTTCGTCTGCTTGTGAACTTCGTGAGTTAATTTGGTACAAAATTGGATCGTGAAACCTCAAACCAACGATATTTCGACAGAATAACAGCCTGAGAGTTCTACTTTCAGCTCCTATATTCAGCGTGTGAGCCAAGGGTCAAATGTTGTCGGTCCTTTCTACCGTACTTAAACGGACCGAGTTTAATAGAAAGGAACCAAGCCACATCAGCTATTGCCAAATTTAACAGGGCAATTTAATTTTTCACATAAGAGATCGTTTGTGCGGATTCCTGCTTTGACATTTTCAAGGAATTTGCGTCAAACTATGGAAAATTTTCACTGAAATTTGCACAAAAATCCGCTTAACCGTTTTCATGGAAAAAATTAACTTGCCCGATTAAATTTGGCAATAGCTGATATGGCTTGGTTCCTTTCTGTCTAACGCTGTCCAAATATACTTAGGACGAGTCTCGACCGCACTTAAGTCCGGCTCAGCGCTTCTGATTTGGACGTATTTCTGTCGAACGGAACTAAGCGCCAATTTGAGTTCCTTAGGAGGAATTTAGAATGCCGGATAACGCGTTCTGTCAAACGGAACTAAGCGCCATGGAAAAGCATTGCGAGTATAGGACGGCATGAGCCCGATGCCCGGTTCCGCCGCCAGTCCAAGCCCCCCTCTACCTTCCCCTATGGCGCTTATTGTTAGTTCCGTTTCACAGAAATACGCCCATTTGCCAGTGGTGCGGTTCGGACTCATCGATGCGATTACGTCTCCCTGTGAAAGAGCCGACAAAATTCGGCCCCAGGCGCAAAGGCCTCGATAGACGATCAAATTCCCGAACCAATTCCGATCAAAGTAGCATTAAAGTGTCGGGAGTCGTCAGTCTTAAACTCATTAATTTGCTCCATTTTAAAACGAAAACTTGGCAGAAATGTTTCCTGTGGCAGGAAATGATGAATGGTGGCACTCCGTTCTGATCTTACTTTAAGGCCTCGATAGACGATCAAATTCCGAACCAATTCCGATCAAAGTAGACATGCTGATGACGGGTGGTCACCATCTACCATCAAATTTTGACGGGCCGCACTTTTTTGTTCAAAGTAAGATCAGAACGGAGTGTCACCATTCATCATTTCCTGCCACAGGAAACATTTCTGCCAAGTTTTCATTTTAAAATGAAGCAAATTAATGAGTTTAGGGCTGATGACTCCCGACACTTTGATGCTACTTTGATCGGAATTGGTTCGGGAATTTGATCGTCTATCGAGGCCTNAGGCCTTAAACAAAAAAGTGCGGCCCGTCAAAATTTGATGGTAGATGGTGACCACCAGTCATCTGCACGTCTACTTTGATCGGAATCGGTTCGGAATTCGATCGTCTATGCAGGGCTTAAAGACGGACGGACGCTGAGGAAGTTGGCACTGCGGGCCAAAACCGGAGCGCCTCAAATAAACCCCACGGAGTAAGCGCGGAATGGGGCTTCGAAAGAAGTCAATCGTGTTGTCTACACATAGTGAGCTCTTGCGAAAAGGGCACACATGGCTACGGGTGTGAGCCGAAGAACCAATTGGATTCAGTACGGGAGGGGCTCCGGCGAGAGTCAACTATCGTCGTCTTTGTTGTTGGTGAGCGTTGACCAGAGGGGCGCGCGGGGCGCCGGCTTGAGGTTGGTCTGGAGGGCGACGGAGACCTTTGCGGCGACGGTGAAGACCTCCGGGAGGGGCGGGGGCCCCGGGCCGGCATCCGCGACGACGGCGGGCGGCGGGGCCGGCGGCGTCTGCTAGCTGTCCGGCGACGTCAGGACTTCGATCATGGTCGTCTCCGGGTCGGCCTCCGAGCGCTCTTCCACCACCGTGTCCAGGTCCAGCGAGGGGAACCCCCGCCCCATCCCCCGCTCGCCCTTCAGGCTCACCGCCCGCGAACGACCCCCGTTCGGGCCCGCCAGGTACACACCTAGAAACACATCAAAGGTGTTATTATTAGAGAGAATAATTAGGTGTGACATTAGGTTAGGTAGACATTGGGTGTTGGGTATTCATAGAGAGGAAGGATGTGATTGGAGGAGGAATTTTGAAAAGTTGAGTCAAAATTCTTGTTGTTCGTCGAAGAATGCCATCTGGTACCAAGTTTCACAAAAATCGATCGAACAGGAGCTACATATCGTAGGATCAATAGGACTCCACACAGTGGTAAACGATAACAGTCGATGCACGACATGAGGTGACGAAGTAAAAAAATGTTAATACTATAAAACAGCTTTGAATGTTTATTCTGCACCATTTGATTGAGGAAGGGGAGACACCGGAAAAGTTTAATTGTTGATTCTCTGAGAGCATTTCGAAGTTTTAGGGAATAGATAAGCTCAATGGCATCGATATCAAGGTCTGAACTCTGAGAGTACATCGGTTTTGAAACGGAGCAGAAAGAGAAAAGATACCTCGATTGATATTTTGGATGATTTCGGAGGCGCCAAGATAGCTTTTAAGGCTACTTTCGCCATTATTTTAGAATTTCAAAAATTCGTCTGTTACATTTCAAAAAATACTCCCTGACACCATGTTTTACCAAAACTCGATCGAACAGGAGCCGAGATAGCATTTTAGACCACACTGAGAAAAAACTATGGCTTATAAACCTATTAGAGGTAAATACGGAACACCACTAATAGTAGTACCTCTACATATAATAATAGCACATATACCTTAGTTATGGTACGGGGTACCTTAATTAGGTACAGAGACCTTAGTATGGTTCACAGACCGAGAATCATTAGTTTATTTACGACTATTATAGGTGTTCCATGTTTACCTCTAATAGGTTTATAAACCATAGTTTTTTCTCAGTGCACATCCACCATCTTGGATTTTCGAATTTTGAAAATTTGAGTCAAAATTCTTGTTGTTCGTCAAAGAATGCCATCCGGTACCAAGTTTCACAAAAATCGATCGAACAGGAGCCACATATCGTAGGATCAATAGGACTCTACACAGTGGTAAACGATAACAGCCAATGTACGTACGGCAAGGCGCCTTCATTTTCGTCTGATACTGTGCAACACTTCCGAGGTGAAATAGTTGCTCAGAGCGCCTTCAACGATATCGCTTCAACTTGATGGCGATTACCACGGAATTTACACTTATGCCTGTGCGAAAGTTACACATTTTTTCGTCACCGACGGTGAGGTAAAAGACACACACTGGTACAAATTTTTGTGGTATTGTGTTAATTTCGGTTAATATTGGAAGTGATACACAAACCACAACAAATTTTGTGTTGATTTGATACAGTTTGCGGTGAATTTAGCGTAGAAAACAATGGAGAGACTGGAAAAACGCATTCTTACGATTGCGACATTGGTATTCACCACTCGTTCTTAATAAATTTCTTTACGAAAACTAGCTGAATTTTTCTCTTAAAATCGTCTACCGATGGCTAGGGTTATTCTGTGTTTTACTTTCCGTATTAACCAAGCTTTGTTTTTAAAGGATATATCCCATTAAGGAGGGTATTTTGGCCCTAACTTTGGTCGAAAATTGAAACAGCTTAGAATAATGCCATTTATGGTCAAATCGACTCTTGATCATCTACCCTGTGAGAACTTGTCCTTATTTGAGGTGTTTTTGAAAGGTTTTTGCTTGATTTACCAGCGCAAAGTACTTAGTGAATATAAGTTTTGCAGTTCATAATAGAATCAGAATAATTGCTCAGTTTCGATCCTAAATAGATTGTTTTTGTGTGAGCACAAGCGACTACCACTTTTATATTCGAGTATGTTAATCTTTAGTACACCCATTACGACATATTTAAAGGAGAAAGTGGTAGTCGCTTGTGCTCATACAAAAACAATCTAATTTAGGATCGAAAATGAGCAATTATTCGAGAAAACCGCAAAACTTCACTACTTTGCGCTGGTAAATCAGGCAAGAACCTTTCAAAAGCATCTCATATAAGGACAAGTTCTCACAGAGTACCTAGATTATTAAGAGTCGATTTGACCATACATGGCATTATTCTGAGCTGTTTCAATTTTCGACCAAAAGTTAGGGCCAAAATACCCTCCTTTAATGGGACACATACTTTAAAAACAAAGCTTGGTTAATACGGGAAGTGAAACACAGAATAACCCTAGCCATCGGTTGACGATTTCAAGAGAAAAATTCAGTTAGTTTTCTTAAAGAAATTTAATAAGAACGAGTGGTGAAGACCAACCTTGCAATCGGAGAAATGCGTTTTCCACTCTCTCCGCGCTGAAAATGACGAGTAGACTATTCAGAATTCACCTACTCACATGAGTAGAACTTCCTACTCATATGAGTAGAAATCCTACTCATATGAGTAGAAATCCTACCAATATGAGAGGAAATTCTACGCATACCACTAGAATATTCTACTTAAATGAGTAGAAAAGTTCAACGCATATGAATTCAATTTTTTCATTTCCAGAAGTGCTGTTTCTGACCAGGAGACCCCGACAAAGAGGGTAAATTTGAAAAATAAAAATATTTTGTTCTTATGATTTTTTTGATGCGGTGACAAGTTTCCGAGACACGGAAAAAAAAACACATTTGATCGAACGAACAGGAGCCACATATCGGAGGATCAATAGGACTCTACACAGGGGTAAACGATAACAGTCAATGTACGTACGGCAAGGCGCCTTCATTTTCGTCTGATACTGTGCAACACTTCCGAGGTGGAATAGTTGCTCAGAGCGCATTCAACGATATCATCAGATCAGATCAGAGTACATCGGTTTTGAAACGGAACAGAAAGAGAAGAGATACCTCGATTGCAATTTTGGATGTTTTCGGAAGCGCCAAGATAGCATTTTAGGCTACTTTCGCCATTATTTTAGAATTTCAAAAATTCGTCTGTTATATTTCAAAAAATACTACCTGACACCATGTTTTACCAAAACTCAATCGAACAGGAGCCGAGATAGCATTTTAGACCACATCCATCATCTTGGATTTTCGAATTGTGAAAAGTTGATTCAAAATTCTTGTTGTTCGTCAAAGAATGCCATCCGGTACCAAGTTTCACAAAAATCGATCGAACAGGAGCCACATATCGGAGGATCAATAGGACTCTACACAGGGGTAAACTATAACAGTCAATGTACGTACGGCAAGGCGCCTTCATTTTCGTCTGATACTGTGCAACACTTCCGAGGTGGAATAGTTGCTCAGAGCGCCTTCAACGATATCGCTTCAACTTGATGGCGATTACCACGGAATTTACACTCATGCCTGTGCGAAAGTTACACATTTTTCATCACCGACGGTGAGGTAAAAGACACACACTGGTACAGATGTTCGTGTTATTGTGTTAATTTCGGTTAATATTGGAAATGAAACACAAACCATCACAAATTTTGTGTTGCCTTGATATACAGTTTGCGGTCAATTTAGCGTAGAAAACAATGTAGCCCTGCTCAAAATGGTGAGAACAATTGAGTAGAAAATCAAAGTCACATGAATAGAATTTCAACTTATACGAATAGAATTCAACTCATATGAGCAGAATTTCTCGATCCAGTTTTCGCCAACTCATATGACTAGAGATTTCAACTCACAAGAGTCCAGCGTTGAATCTACATATACATAGGCTGTCCCAAAACAACTGAGAGTAAGTCTGTATTTCAGAAACAATAATAGATATCGAAACGCGGTTTGTGGGAGGTTGTAGCTCATATCCTTAGCTATCCAACGAGCCCAAGATTTGCTATTTTGGTCAAAATTTCGCTGAGTTACAGCAATTTTTTGGAGCCGTGTAAAATAGAACCCTACAGGATTTTTGAGTATTTTTTTCCTTGTCTGAACTGTTGTTCCGAGATCGCAGCTTTGCGGATCACGTCGGCACTGGTCTAGATGCAAGTTCTAACATGTTTGCATGTGCTTTCATTCCATATCAGAGTTTTCTTCAACTTCCCAGCTCAGGGAAGCCAACATTGTCCAGCGTTAATGACACTTTCTTCCTCCGCCGCAGAAGTTGACGGCCGGCCGCCATGCGGAATCAAAGCCGCCGACTCGCGACCCTCGGAAAAAGCTGCATGCCACCGATAAATGGTGCTCTCCCCAAGTCGATTTTCTCCATAAGCAACTAACATCTCTTTCACGGTATCAGAGACAGTTAAACCTTGGTAAACACATGAACGGATGGTATAGCGTTGCTCTTGTTTCAGCTGCGCGGGCGAACTCATTGCACCAAACGAGAACACGTGTCAATAACGCTAGACAATGTTGGCTTCACTGAGCTGGGAAGTTGACGAAAACTCTGATATGGAATGAAAGCACATGCAAACATGTTAGAACTTGCATCTAGACCAGTGCCGACGTGATCCGCAAAGCTGCGATCTCGGAACAACAGTTCAGACAAGGAAAAAAATACTCAAAAATCCTGTAGGGTTCTATTTTACACGGCTCCAAAAAATTGCTGTAACTCAGCGAAATTTTGACCAAAATAGCAAATCTTGGGCTCGTTGGATAGCTAAGGATATGAGCTACAACCTCCCACAAACCGCGTTTCAATATCTATTATTGTTTCTGAAATACAGACTTACTCTCAGTTGTTTTGGGACAGCCTATGTATACCGTGTCCGATATGCACTGGAAAAAAAAACACATTGGATCTAGAGTCCAGACTCTTGAAAACATTGACAAAAAAAAATACTCTTGATTCAATCAGATTTAAGCTTAAATCAAAAGGAAATCCGCTCAAATTAAGAGGCTTGGTTCTTGATTTAAGCAAAAATCCGATTCGGATCGAGAAATTCTGCTCATTTGAGTTGAATTCTATTCGTATAAGTTGAAATTCTATTCATGTGACTTTGATTTTCTACTCAATTGTTCTCACCATTTTTAGCAGGGCTACATTGTTTTCTACGCTAAAGTCACCGCAAACTGTATATCAAGGCAACACAAAATTTGTGACGGTTTGTGTATCACTTCCAATATTAACCGAAATTAACACAATACCACAAAAATTTGTACCAGTGTGTGTCTTTTACCTCACCGTCGGTGACGAAAAAATGTGTAACTTTCGCACAGGCATAAGTGTAAATTCCGTGGTAATCGCCATCAAGTTGAAGCGATATCGTTGAAGGCGCTCTGAGCAACTATTCCACCTCGGAAGTGTTGCACAGTATCAGACGAAAATGAAGGCGCCTTGCCGTACGTACATTGACTGATATAGTTTACCCCTGTGTAGAGTCCTATTGATCCTCCGATATGTGGCTCCTGTTCGATCGATTTTTGTGAAACTTGGTACCGGATGGCATTCTTTGACGAACAACAAGAATTTTGAATCAACTTTTCACAATTCGAAAATCCGAGTTCGAAAGCTGTTTTAGAGTATTACATCTATTTACTTTGTCACCTCATGTCGTATTTTACCTCACTCATCACAATCGCGGTAATTTCGAGTTTTCATAAAAACACTATTCCGTGATTGACGTAACTGATTCATAGTGAAAAATCAGAACTCACTACTCAGATGGTACGACTATGTTTGTCTAAATTTCCCAAAAAAGATGAACCTACAGCTCGATTATCGAACGATTTTAATCGACGAAACCTTGTTTCAGCAATGCAATTTATCGACCGAGATAAGGATTCAACAACGGTGGGGTCGGCAGCAAGACGCTCGGAGCGCTCTTCAATTGGACGTATTTCTACCAAATGGAACTATATGCATTATGACATGAGCCCTGAGACCCATAAGAATACGTGCATAACAGGGATCATGTCTTAATGCACATAGTTCCGTTTGGCAGAAATACACCGAAAAAAATAGTATGCTGTTTTAGCACCTAGGATGTTAAAAATGTGTCTGGTGATCTCAAGATGCTGCCTTAACCGCCTACAGAGTTAAAGTTGCATTCACAGGATGTAAAGTTAACTGCGAGGGCAGTAAAGTCAACAACTCCGGATCACCAGACACATTTTTAACATCCTAGGTGCTAAAACAGCATATTATTTTTTTCGGTGTACGTCCAATTGCGAGTGAGTTCTGGGCAGAATTGTCAGAATAATTAATTAATTGGCCTCGGGGTCGAAGAAAGGAGTAAGCAAGGATGAAAAATCGTCCCCTGAGTGTCACGGCCCCTAAATTGTCCGCATAAGGGATTTGCTCGTCACTTACGGAAAGGCGAATCCGAGCCAGTGGCGAGGCCTGAATGATCGATTAGCGTTATTCCCCCATTTGAAGCTGTGGTAAAGAATCGATTATTAAGGTGTTCGTTGCGAACACCCTGTTTATCGATCCTTTTCCACAGGTTTAAATGGCACATCAAGCGATATATCGCAAAGCACGCTAACCCCGGAACTCTCACGAGAGAGTTACGTTGCCTCCCGCCTCACTTTCCTCGCTCCAAGCACGGGCCTGGACTCTGAATTGCTGCTTGCCAGACTCGAAGAGGAACTTTATTCAAGGGTTTCATTTTAATATATTTTAGGGAGACTTTTATTTTAATTCCCCTCCTCTCAGAGCAAATCTCCGCTGTTATTAGAGATAAAATCACTAAAATCAACTATTTTATTCGCTTTAGATTCAAATCATGTACCCCATTGTAGCCTATAACGGAGGGTTGAACACTTAAACATACCTAATCGGTGCATAGTTCCGAGTCTCGCCAAAGAAATTCCGCTGCGATCAGGATCGAAGTTCCTGCAACAAACAAAATGAAATTTTTACTATACATTCTAGTTACCGTTGAACATCATAAACACAACAGAAATAGCAGGTCAGGCTTCTGAGGCGGGATCATATCACCTTAAGCAAAGGAAGTCTAGTGACGTAAACAATTCTCGTCTTTAAGTTTACACGGATTGCATTTTGCAAAAAGGAATCAAGAGCATTCCAATGTTGCTAGGAACGTACAACTTACATTCTTTGCAAGAAAATACTGAAATCACGCAAAAAATTAAATTTACAAAGAGAATTCCTTTTTTTGGGGGACCATAAGAAAAGGCAGGTTACACCTTTGATCTCCCTTGAAAAAAAGGACTTCTGGTTTTAAATGTACCTCTGAGCAAGAATAAATCCTAGCTTTCCGTTGTAAGTTACATTAAAAAATGAGTGTTGCAAATATCAACCTATATTTGAATTGCATTTTGCAAAAAGGAACCAAGAGCATTCCAAAGTTGCTAGGAACGTACAACTTACATTCTTTGCAATATAATACAGAAATCATGCAAAAAATTAAATTTACAAAGGTGATTTTCGTATTGAATTTATAGTTTATTGGGAGTAAAGATAAACATCGTTTAGGCGATCAGTTTATATTAGTCAGGTAAAAAAAGTTGCTCAATCTTAGCGTCACCGAAGTGCTCTTGGTTCATTTTTACAAAATGCAATCCATATTTACCAGTGGCGTGGCGTGCTCTGCGATATATCGATTGTTCTGCCATTTAAACGTATGGTAAAGAATTGATTACGAAGATGTTCGCTGCGAACACCCTAATTATTATCGATCCTTTTCCATAGGTTTAAACAGCATAACAATCGATACATCTGATATCTGATATTTGCCACAAATAGTGCGACCTTAGTGGCTCGACTGATGTCTATCATTACCGATTGAAAAATCTGTTCGAAAATGTAGCACCGTAGCTCTTTTGTTCTATATTCAAATAGTGTTACTTTTGCGACGTTGGACTAGCTTACGCAGAAGACGGTGTTATTTTACAACACTAGCGGTACTATTTCATATTTTTCAATGTAATTTTTGTTTGCTCATCACACAAAACGACAGGAGAATCACTTTCATTTGAAATGAAATGTTACGTTACGGCACTTAAGGCTTTGACAGTTTATCCAAAATAGTGATGAGGCTAATCTTATTGTTAGAGCAAATCGTTCCGTCCGCAGGATGCAGATATGCCGCGGTGTGAAAATGGTGTTGCATCCGAGACAAATGCAGGCGTTTCTTGCTCTGGTATTCAGGAACTAACTGACATGACGGTTGCAGTTTGCAGCATAAGCAACAACAACGAGAATTGTCGTTTCGTAGATTATAGTGTTCATTATCCACGAGTAAACATGGCTTTAATCTTCGAACCTCTTAGTTGGTTCTTTGGTCGGTGTTGTTCTCGTCGCTTTTTGATGCGACTTGAATAAAGAATTTGTGGTCAAAAAGTGTTTTTTTAGGTGCTTTATGTGTTATATGAATTTCATTTCCTCAAATCTTCATTTAAAATATCCAAATAATTAAACGCAAAAATATAAAGAGGGGTATATAAATCCGACGTTCATTATGTACACTGTTTTAATACACCTAAAGAAAATGTAAATGCTTTGTGAGGTCCTTTTTAAAATAATTTAAAATTAAAAAGATGAGAGAACATGAGAAGAACAGTAAAGGGTTCTTCTCCTATCGGTGTCCTCATTTTGTGCATTTATACATGAGAAATATTTCTATTATTCGTTGGGTAGAGACAACACTGGAAAAAAAAAAACACATTGGGTCTAGAGTCCAGACTCTAAAAAACATCGACAAGAAAAATTACTCTTGATTCAATCAGAATCTAGCCTAAATCAAAAACCAAGCCTCGTAATTTAAGCGGATTTCGTTTTGATTCAAGCAAAAATCCGATTGGATCAAGAGAATTTTTTCCTGTCAATGTTTTCAAGAGTCTGGACTCTAGATTCAATGTGTATTTTTTTTCCAGTGTTCACTTTGAGACGAGGAAGCGGAAAACTGACAATGGGACCGAGGGAGGCATATTTTCATCGCTAACTCAATATTGGGTACAAGTTTCGTTAAAAAAAAAAAAAAAAAAAAAAAAAAAAAAAAAAAAAAAAATTCGTACACGCCCGATTCGGAATAGGAACTTGGGCCAGAAGTTGAGCGTGATTCAAAAGACCGCCGAGAAAATAACAAAGATCGGGAGCCACTTTATTGACACGAAGCGGGAGCGGGAACGTCTTTTAAAAGAGCGGGGCGCCCTAAAAAATTCCCAGGCTAAGCTTGCGGCTTCCGAGCACGTATCAATATTTTTCTTTTTCATATTCTAGCAAACGGCGCGCGGCGGCCGATTCCGAATAAATGGCTCCATTTTTTTGTCATTTCTAAGGAGCCGGCAGGAAGGAGAGCGGTTGACTTCCTCCCGAACATTTATTCCGTCTCACTGAGCCGTCCGCGCAAAGTTATTGAGCATAAAACGTTTCCTGTCAACTCCGTGGACTTCCACCGTCTTGCGGTTTCTGGATGACCCGATTGATCTAGTGAGGGTTCCCTCCAACTGCATCACGTATAGATCTCGTCAAAAAGCCATGTTTAGCACTTGGAATACTCATTAAAATGTTTCTTTTTCGGATTATTTTATTCGTATCAAACAATGGGCCATTTGATCTGTGTTAAAAAGACTTGTTGATACCTCGTTCACGAGTTGATTTTCAGACTTTTCGTCGTATGAATCGTTTACTACGCACTGGAAAAAAAACACATTTGATCTGGAGTCCAGACTCTTAAAAACATCGACAAGAAAAAGTATTCTTGATTCAATCAGAACCTAGCTCAAATCAAGAACCAAGCCTCTTAATTTAAGAGTATTTCGTTTTGATTCATACAATAATCCGATTGAATCAAGAGTATTTTTTCTTGTCAATGTTTTCAAGAGTCTGGACTTTAGATCCAATGCGTTTTTTTTCCAGTGTTCTGTTCATGTGAAACGCGAGTGTCACTTAAATTGAGCGTCAAAAATTAAAAAAAAAACGAGTTCGAAAAATTTGACTTCCGCGCTTCACTGGAAAAAAAACAAACACATTGAATCTAGAGTCCAGACTCTTGAAAACATTGACAAGAAAAAATACTCTTGATTCAATCAGATTTTTGCTTAAATCAAAAGGAAATCCGCTCAAATTAAGAGGCGTGGTTCTTGATTTTAGCAAAAATCCGATTGAATCAAGAGTATTTTTTCTTGTCGATGTTTTTAAGAGTCTGGACTCTAGATCCAATGTGTTTTTTTTTTCCAGTGTTCTTGGAAATACTGAATGCGATCAACGGTAACCTCTCTCTTAGGAGTAGACTCTGGACTTTCCGTGTGACTTTGTGTGTTTCGGAAATGTTTGCTATGTGTTTGACGCTCACAAGTTTTGCGTTAAGTTTTGATGGACAAACATGTCATGTTCGTGCGGATGAATTTCAAGTTGCGGAAGCGACAACTCTGCTTGCTTGAGTGGACTCGTGTTCGTGAGCGGCTGGTAAGGTCCGGTGAGCGGCTGAGGTCTGATGGCGGGTCGTTTAGCCCCATCGATGCGCGATGCCCCAACTCGCATCCCTTGTGGGACATGTGACGCCACTCTCAGGCAAAGGTCCCCCTCCGCCCCTCAACCACCCCCAAATTCCCGCAAAAACGAGACGAGAACAAATGTCCCGCGCCTAAATGCGCCCTCAAATCGCTGGTATTTCAATAAAACATCCATTTCCCTTCCGCGAAAAGGATCAGAAAAGCATCCCTCCCCGCGTTGGGAGGGGAAGGGGGGTTGTATTTGGTTGGCAAGTGTTGTCATGTTGGAATGGGATGTTTGATTTGAGCAAGCTCTGAACGTTGGGAGGATAAAATGCATCATGAAATGGACGGGTTTAATCGGAATATCAGCCTGACTGAATTTCATATTGTCTAATTTACTCTCATATATTGTTTTCTTGACAGAGAACTGAACAAGCCTAGGCAAGACCAAGTTGGATTAGAGGATTTGAAAGTTGGCCAAAATTCCTTACGTTATAATACTTGAACCGCTCTAACTGGGCCGCTTTGAGGAGCTTACAGAGGATGTGAGTTATTCCAACAACACATCCTATTCTAATAGCTCCGTTTAACTTTAGTCTTGTCTCTCCCGAAAAAGCAAAAGAACAAGAAAGAAAGGAAGAAAATGTCCATCGATTGAATTCCTTATTTATCGTGAGAAGAAGTACCTAACCAAAATTACGAGTTAATATGAGGAGTAGAACACACATTTTCGGTTAAGTTCTCTTGGTTCATTCGATGCGATTGACCAAACGTTTCGGTTGAATAGACTATATATTTTGGTTACATTAACCAAATATTTCGGTAGAGACACTTTTGATTAGTAAAAACTACGCATTAGTATAGCAACAATCAAACCCAGATTTTGTAGCCATTAATAATTCAATGCGCAAGTCATTTGCAAGTCGCAAACGACGAAGGGTAGTGAGGAAAACGGGAGTGTACTAGGTAAGCAGGACACTTTCTAAATATTAAGATTAATCAGAGTCGGACCTAGCCTCAGCCTCTAACCCGAAAAATAACTAAAAATTTGGTCAATCGACCGAATCTTTCTGGTTATTCCAACTGAAATAAAATCACTTCTGAGTGACCAAAAACCCGGAAATTTTCAGCTGTGCCCGCATTTCACACGTATCACTTAGAGGCTTCGAACCTTTTAGAGCAAGATTCCATTCCGATGTTACCCCTCCATCAAATGTGTCAACGGAGTCGCGCTCTACTCTCCGCCGACGAACAGAATCGGGTTAAGTTCAACGAGAGACAGGGGTTTATTCCCCGGCAGAAAGCTCGAGGCACACGAGGTAACTGCGACTTGATAGCCCCAACTCGCGATTCCCGCCAAATGTTCGCCCCCCCCCCCACCACCACCACCACACACACACACTTCACCCTTTTCTGTTCGAAAGAGTCAACCGG